TTGGTTGCTCGAGAGGGTAATAAGGTCCATGCCATGGAGGCGACCAATCATCATACTCCTACCATGTATATTGGTATCCGAGCCTGAAAGTAGTACCATGACGTTCCAGCTGTATTGGTTTGGTGATGCCTTGTTGATTCTTCCCAAGCCCTTTACCGAGTTCGTACCCAGACCATGCTAGTATGCTTTCTATTTTGTTACTCCACCATTTGTCTTTCTCAATGGCATTGACACGTTCGATGTGATGATAGGTATCTCCTCTTAGCCTTCTTATGTTCCTGATAACCGGGATGGTTTGACTAGTGTAAATAGGGTTACTCTCATCCTCGTGAATGATCACTTCCTGATGGTTCCATTTGAACTTCACGTCCTGGTGTAGTGTGGAAGCCACAGCCCCAACGGCATGTATCCATGGTCAGCCCAATAGAAGATTGTATGAAACTGATATGTCAAGCACCTGGAATTCAACGTCGAACCAAGTTGTCTCCATCTGTAGACAAAGATTAATCTCCCCAATCGTGGCCCTTTAAGATCCATCAAAGGCTTTCACATTCATGCTTCCTTCCCGTATTTCATGGAAACCTTTGCCCAATCTTTTTAAATTATCCAATGGACAAATGTTGAGGCTTGAACCTCCATCGATCTGAACTCTAGCAATGAATTTATCTTCAAATTGTACCGTGATATGCAATTCTCGGTTATGATTCAACCCTTCAGGCGGTAGTTCATCCTCAAGGAAGATTATCTTATGACTTTCCAGCACCTGCCCTACCATTTTGGCCATCTCTCCGCAGGTGATATTGTTGGGTATGTAAACATCACTTAACACCTTCATCAAATAATTCTTATGTGCCTCTAAATTTTGCAACGACGACAGGATGGATATCTTGGCGGGGGTTTTGTTCAAATGATCAACGACGGAGTATTCCCTCGCCTGTACTTTCCTCCAAAGGTCATCTGGCCTTGTTTCAATGACAGGTTGCTTGGTAGTGGCATCCTTACTTGGTCCTCCCAAGTGTTCAGGTGTATAGACCCTTTCGGTCCTGGTCATTTCTTGAGCAGCATCAGATTCTTCCATCTTTACCTTCCCCTTTCTCCTAGCTTCGGCAATGTAATCCCAGGGTATTGCTTTTGAATCAAAAGGAGGTGTGGTTGATACTGTCACTATGAAAGGTGTGGCCACTTCTACTTCAAATGGAACAGGGGTGGTTGCAGGTGGAGCTACCTCTACCTCAAATGGAACTGATGTAGCTACCTCAACTTCGACTGGTGACTGAATCTGTACTACAATAGGAGTAAGTATGTCTGCTGGTTTAAAGTCATCGTCTTCTCGAATAAGCTCAATTGACCCCTCAGGATCCCATTTTTCATCTATCTCTATCATATGTATTCTACCACCCCTATGATCCGGGAGTGTATTGTTGCGGACATTGGGTGCAGCTTCTTTTGCCTGTATGACCTTGTTGTCAATCAGTGTCTGGATTTTATTTTTCAATGTTCGGCATGCGTCAATAGTGTACCCCTTTATACCTGAATGGTATGCACAGGTTTTGTTTGGGTTGACCCATTGGGGTGGGTTCTCCACTACCACAGCGGGAAAAGGAGTGATGTAACCAGCAGCCTTCAACCTTTCGTACAACTGGTCGATGGGTTCAGCAATAGCGGTGTATTGTCTAGGTGGTTTGCGGTCAAAATTGGGTCGTGGTCTTGGATAATTTCGGTGAGTTAGAGGTGACTGAAAATGAGATGGTTGGGAATTATAGGTGTGATAGACAGTGGTCGGTTGAGAATATCTGGGAGATGAGGGTTGATATGTTTGTGGAGGTGCTTGGTATGTGAGTGGAGATTTTGGGCCTCCAGCCACCATTAGTGCCCCAAAGTCTTTCTTTTTCGATACGCCGCTTGATTGTAGTGCTTTGTTTTTGACTTGTAGTGCCTCAAAGTTTGTTACCATCCCCCTTTTGATGCCTTCTTCGATCCTTTCACCAAATTTGATGATATCAGAGAATTTATGGTTTTCAATAACCATCAACCTTTCATAATATTGCGGATCATGTGCTCTGACGAAGAATTTGTTCATTTTCTCTTCGTCCAATGCTGGCCTGACCTTGGCCACTTTCGACCTCCATCGAGTAGTATACTCGCGGAAAGTCTCAGTGGTATTCTTCATGAGGTTCTGAATGTAGAAAACATCTGGTGCATTTTCCGTGTTGAACCTGAATTGGTCCATGAAATCAGACTCCATACTTACCTAGTTGGACCATTTCTTAGGATCCTGGCTGATGTACCAGGACAAAGCATCTCCCGTAAGACTCCTCATGAAAAGCTTCATCTGGATCTTTTCATCCTTTTCAACCCCGACGAGTTTGTCACAATAGGTCCTTAAATGAACCCTGGGATCACCTATGCCGTCAAACATCTCGAACTTGGGAGGTTTGTAACCCTCCGGCAGTTTTACATCTGGCTGTATGCATAGGTCCTCATAATTCAAACCTTTTATCCCTTTGCTTCCTTTGACACCCTGAACCCCGACTTGCCAATTTCTTGAGTTCCTTAGCCATGTTTTTTATGAGCAGGTCCTTCTCAGCAGATTATGGTGTATAGGAGGTTGGTTGAGTAGATTGAGGTAAGGTTTCCACATATATAGGGTTGTTTTGGTGAGTACCATGAACCTAGGTGTAGTGGTGGTCATTGGTTGAGTTTTGAGGATCGGGAATGGGTTGTGGTGTGTTCTATGGAGTTTGATAAGTAGCGGTTGGTGGATACTAGACTGGTTGATGATAGTGTTGTGGTAGAGTTGCTATCGGTAAGGGATTGAGGTTTTGAGGTGGAGTTGCATACTGATGCGGTGCATGAGTGTTTTGTGGATGATGGTATGGTGTGTTTTGGGGAGGTGCTGGGTTTTTGGTATTTTATTGGTTGACATCGGGGACGCTCAGGATGAGGGATAGATTTGCTAAGTTGCAGACTTGCTCAAGTTCTCCCTGTAACTCTAATATCTTTTGTTCCAGTCGTAAGACCAAATCATTTGGTGCTGGAGTACTCCGACGGCTGAAGTTTCTGCATTCACCTCATTTTCCTTTTGAATACCACTTAAGTCGTCCATTTTAGCTTTCCCTCTGTTCTTTGTGTTACTTGGAGGAGGAGGAGGTAGAGGGACTCTAGATCTGGTATGATATACTGATAATGCCAGTATGTGTGACCCAACATTAGGGGATGAGAATAAAGAATAAAGAAAAACAAAAGGTAAATAAGTCAGTAAGGGTTCCAAAATGTTTGCAGTATTTAAACACGTATTGCGGGAATGTAAATTTGCGTCCTAGTTTGAGAGCCTCCTTGTGCTCGAGGTAGGCCTAGCGACAAATAGATTTGGAGAAATTCAGTTCCAATAATTGCCTCATTTCATTAATTTAAAAATAAACGACCCAAACGACACTAAATAAGATAATGTTGCTAATGGAACTTGGCCTTATTATATTTAAAAGAAAGGCAAGTAAATCTAATCTACTTGGTCCCAGAAGGACCCTCTCCAGATCGGATGTTGTTGTCGATCAACTCTCCCAGCTCGTGCAGGTTCAGCAGTAAGAATGCCCTTGCCAAATGCCCTCCTTCATTTCCCTCAGCGTTCTGGCAGTCGGTGACTCTCTTTCTTATCTTTCACTCCAATTCCATCAAACTGTACTCCAAATATTCCAGCCTTTCGCTGGATTTAATAGCCCTCTCCTTCCACTCATTAATCATTTCCATATCGGCCTTATGTTGTGCCATATGCTTAGCTTTAGACTCTCGAACTCTTTTGCGCAGCTTGATATACTTCACCTTTGTTTCGGCAAACTCATCTATGACCCTATTTCCTAGACCAACCCTTGGCTCAAAGATTCCTGATAGATTATCATCCAACCATGAGGGGTAAAAGTATGAATGACCCACATGATATTAGTCCGGCTCGATGGTATGCTTCTCCACAATAATCTTCAAAGTCCACATATATTGTGCTTCATTCTTATATGGGATAGCGTCACCCTAGAAATCAGTTATGAAGTAACTCATTTTAGCGATCAGTGGTATGACCTATCTCCTGCCTGCCTGTCTCATAACCCTGAGGGGAGAATAAGGGTATATTCCCCTTAACCCAATCAACACCAAATGTGGGATGTCTCTGGATCTGATGATGAACTCGTCGGCGGGGAACCACTCGAACATCCATTGAACCTGGTCCTCAGTCAACTTGTTGAAGAACTTCACCCATCCTATAGCATCCTTAGGTTGAGCAAACATGTCCGGAATGTAAGTCATTCTCTTAGGGTGATGGAAGGGTATGTGGTCATTCCACGACCTTCGTGGAAACTCTTGGCGGTATTGACCCCTTTGGAGATGTTCTAACAGCCAAACTTGTAACAGCAAATTGCAACCCTCAAAGAATCTGGATCCCTTCTGACAGCGTTCCAAGGTCCGGTACATATCCTCAATGATCATAGGGACAATAGTATATGTCTGCCCCTCGATCATGTCCATCAAAGTTTTGGCTACCATGGCCAGCTTAGTCACTACAACAAAAAAGGCTTTTAGCGACAAAATATAATCTCTTTAGTGGCAATAAAAATAGCCACAAAATCTTTTACCGGTAATTAATCATTTGCCATTGAATCCACCGTCGCTAAAGGCTTTAGCGGAAATAAATAGGAGTGCTGGTAAAGCACCAAATTATTGCCGCTAAAGGTCTAACAACTAGTGGCAATTATATGCCTACAATTAAAATAACCACTAAAAGTGGTTAAGGAATATTTTAGTTCATACATTTAGGGGCAATCACAATTATCGGTAAAGACGAACTTAATTGTCGGTAGTGGTAACATATTTTAGTGGCAACTAAATCTGCATTATTTTTGCATTTAATAAATTTTGTTTATGGTTAACAAATATTCAATTTATTGGAGGTAAAAATTTGACTTTTCTAACAGCATTTGCTACAGCCTGAAATGATAAAATAAATACTCTACTTTTATTCATTCTAACAGAATGACAATATTCACTCTACAAAATAATATTTATTACATATACAAACAAAAATGACAAATTCATAGCTTTTACAGTGTCAACACCAAAAAAGAAGTACACAGCTTGAATGAGCAAATTAATCCAATCTCTCTTCACCTGCTTTGTGACCCTACTTGCTTTCCTGACCACTTTTCGAATTCAATCTCTCTACACCAGTAGAAAAAAGTGTACCTTAATATACAGAAGAAAGCGTAAACTTTATTAAATCTAGTTCATTATGTCTTGCGAACAAATTCACAAATTTGATAGCCTCTGATTCTGTTCATCAGGTTTATCATCTCTTACCTCCAGTTCAAAATATAATTCAGGCAGTGTTCCAATGCTCCAAGAACTTGTCTGACTAGCCTATCAAAGTGTATCAATATTGGATTTATATTTGTGCCTATCCCAATGAGACTACATCAGCAGATTTATGGCAATAATTTTTTATAATCTAGAAAAAATTCACTACACAATTTAAGTTAGTAGATTATTAATTTGACTCCTAGAATTCTCCAAACAACTAAAGTAAACACACGAAACATTTTAGAGCCACTTAAAAGAACTCATTGAAACATCAAAGAAGAGGCAGTAGCTTGTGATTTATATCCTCACAAACATATAACGATGTGAAAATTAAATCTACTTAACTCCACTGAGTCAAACTTTTGATTTTTCTTCTAGGCATTGAAAACTACATGGAAGTTTTAACAATAGAAGGTTATAATAGATGTTAAGATTAAATCTGAAAAGCCACCGTATGAGTTTAAAGCCTAACTATTATATACTATTAACAAGCTCTAACAGAAAAGAATCAGAAATAGAGCAGGTAACTACACTGCCAACTTTTTGAAAAAATTTACACATAAACTCCATTGTTCAGCACAATAACAATACCCAATTTTGAGATTTATATTCCTAAGTGGCACATTGCAACAAAATATACTAATCAGTAAGCTTTGTTCCAACTCAGAAAATTTTAATATATGTAGCATTTAAATCTGCTTAGCATGTTAATTTTTTATAAGCATATAATTCCTTTTTCTTTTTAGTAATTTTGATATGTTTATCGACAAAACAAACACAAAGAAGTATATTTTAGAGTTTACAAATACTAGAATTCAAATAACTTAGCATGAAAGGTGCAACTCTCAACAAACATATGATGTATAACTCCAGTTATTCATTCCAAATGACTTAGAATTTGTACTAAAGCTTAGTAATCGATTCAGAAAAGACTAGTACTTGAACACTTGGTTTGGACTGTTCACCCTTCGAAAAATGCAAACACCATAAAATAATCATCTCATGCCAAGAATGTAGACGCGCAGAACTATTTTCTTTTACCTCTTTTTTCAAAATAAAAGAAAAACATGTAACTTTGGAAATGAAATAGCTAGAACAACAATAACAACAACAACAACAACAATTCAGTGAGATCCCACTGTTGGGGTCTGGGAAGGGTAGTGTGTACACAGACCTTACCCCTACCCCGAGGGATAGAGGGACTGTTTTCGAAAGACCCTCAGCTCAAGAAGACGAAAAAATACAATATATCAGTACCATCGCCCATAGAAAAAAATAATGGTATCACAAGAACAAAGAAATAGCTATAAGTGGAAATAAAATGAATGTCAAAATATGAAATCTAATGTAAACTAAAATTGGTATACCTTCCATCAATAACTTACACCAACAGTTTAAAGATAATAAAATTGGAAAAATATCTTCTATCTCAACAGAACTGATACGTACAGTGATGCATCAGTTAACTTGCTTCAATAGTTTGGACATATGATGCTTAATAATTTGGCTTGATATATGATGAATATTAATATTGCGCACAGAAGATACCAATTAAATTGTTTAATAAGAAAAAAGGTACTATGACACGAAAATAAGAATCCAAGTTTATTACGGCATAACACATTAGATACTTGCATGTATATATATATATATATNGAACATTTTAGTTTTCGATTATAAGAACAATCTGGCAGTAAAAAATAGAGTAATAAGGTTTCAGCCTTCAATATTTAAGAACTTCATACGAAATTCACTTCTAATTCTTCCCTCTATGAGACAACTTGGGAATATAACCAAGAATGTTTCAACTCAAAATAAGGTAAACATTTAATTAACATGAATAAGTAAGTGAAGCAAATTTAGTCCGTAAACAATTCACATCTAACGAATAATATAATGAACTGTTTAAATAACTTAAAAACATATTGGATAGACAATGTTCTCTCATACATAAATCAATTCATGTTACTGCAAATGATTGAACATCTTTTATCAGATGCATAACATTATTATATCAAGAACAAGTTCTCAATACAAAGACATAATAAAGAACTAGAAATGTAATTCAAAAGAAATCAGCTACTATATTTTCTATAATCTCAATTATCAACAGAAAGTGGAAATTTACTTTAATAGAGTATGGGACAAGACAACACAATGTAAAGACATAAGAAACATCTCAATATTGTGAACTCTCCTGCACTTATTATAAATAAAATATTAGTAATTAAATTATACTCACTACAATCAGTTTAAATGCATATCAATTTGATTTTACATAAAATGTGTCTGCCTTCAACAGAACTTGAGAAACATACCCATATTGCAATTCTAATTACCAAATGAAATCTCCATTTTTTCACAAGACCCAATTCACCAGAATGCACCTTAAATTTTACTTTCTTTTTCACAATTCCGCATAAAAATTATGGATCAAACTTAGGTTAAGTCTACATTGAACCTTTCCAATAGAGGTTCTTGAGAGAAAAAAACTGATATTTAGTGAGGCCAACCATCAAAGGAAGAAGAAACAAATAAGGTCGAAAGTACAGAGAAATGAACAAAAAAGCCGTGACTAGCAGAGAAACCCTAGTTCTTCAGGATCGATCAAATATGTATTTAATCTAATCGGCATAAGGACCTAAATAAGGAACACCTTCTACCGCGCTCACTACCAATACAAAATTAATATTTATGCACTTTTGCTTTGCATTTCATGAGTAGAGGGTCATCAAAATCAAAAAGAAAAAAATCGAGAGATTACCTGGTGATGGTGGTCGGTGATGGTGAGAGAGATGAGTTAGGCGCTGACAACGATGATAGAAAGAGAGAGAGAGGGGTTTGCTCAATTTTACGGCTTGTTATAGCAGAGAAGATCTATTTGCAATTTGGAGGGAGGGAATATTTTACAACAAAAAGTGGGAGGGAGAATAAATTCAATGAAAATAGACTTAATTTTTTAACCTTTACTGGCCATTACTTTGAATGGTTGGTAAAAGAACACGATTTCGTGACAAATACACAAATGCCGCTAATGTTTGTATTGAGAGAATTAAATTACCAGCAAGTAGCTAATTGCCACTAAATAATTATTGGTAAAAGACTTTTTGTGGTTGTGACTATGAATTCTATCCCCTTGGATTGGGAATACTAGCATGCCCAAGAAGCACACAATGAACACGAAGACCCTACGATCAACCCAGCCCAAGGAGGTGTTTGAGAATTCATCATCAAAAACACGGTAAGAGCTACTGTGGTCGTATCTTTCATAGAGGAAGTCAAAAGGTACGTAGGAGTTCTTTAGGAACTCCAAATCATCATTTTTCTTCAGCCCCATCATCTTAAGGAACTCTCTAACGGTGCGATTTTCAGGTGCTAACAGACTAGGGCTATCCCAAGGCAACCCAGAAAATCCTCCTATTTCTTCTAGGAGGGGAGTCATTTCTATATTCCCAAAGCGGAACACAGCCCTTTCCTTATCCGAAAATAGAGTGGCGGCCTCGATCAACATTTTGTTTGGTTGAAGATCCAACAGTGACGGCAAATTCCCTAAGACTCTTTTCACATGATTTTGGTTGCTTGAGGGAAGATCCCTCCTCCAATCTAGCAAAAGTGGAGGTATGCTACCGACTATACCAAATCTGGGGACTTCGTGCCCCTTTTTTCTGTGAAACAAAAGATAGTTAGGCCATTTCCCCCTCCAGATTCATCTATTTATAAAGCAATGATTAGCATATTGGTACTTATTTCTCAAAATTAATGCACACAATCGTGATTGCGTCCGTTGGAATTATGGAAAACCCGATGGGCTTTTGGGTGAGGTTTGTCTTAAAGGGTCATTATGTGGACAACATATTAACCCGACTAGGTTTTACCATGATGCATGCACAATTAATCATAGTAAGGTTACTATAGAGGTCTAGACTGGGACCCTCAAGCGGACAAATTGAGAGGGAAAGGCACGAAAACATCGAACGCACCACTGATCGACTAGTTTTACCACAAATACGCCTTTCTGAATTTAAAAGGGTGATATATGAGAAGAGCGCAAACACTCATCAAGCGTTGCTATACTATTGATTACGCACGAGTGGAATATGATGTTGAGCATGATTTATGCAATAGTAACTAGCATGTTGTCCAGTATTTGCACGTAAAAATCCGGTAAATGCAGTATTCAAATTATTGAAAGACAGTTACGGAAAAGAAAACAAAGAGACAAGTCAGTTTTAGGAAATAAAGGAAATCATAAATGCTTGAAAATAGGCAGTTAAATCCAAATAAGGGGGAGGGTGCACGGGATAATGCATGCTTAAGACTAATTCACAAAAATAAGTTTGTTATGGTAAGAGTCTAAAATTATCTCCAGCAGAGTTGCCATGCTATCGCGTCCCCTTTTTCCTTCGCAGAAGTCCGGGTTTCGACATTTATTAGGAACAACTCGTTTCCTTTTGGGAATTGGGTATTTGAAGAGTCGCCACCTAACGGATTAAGGTGCGTTAGGGCACCTAGAGCAATTAACTCATGTAACCAGTTTGCATTACCAGAGATTAGGGTAAGGGCTCGAAATAACTTTGAGGGGAAGGTGTTAGGCACCCCTCGCGGTCCACAACGGTGGGTCCAAGCCGAACATAAACTATGTGAATTAGTCATTTAATAAGCAAGCGGTCTCAGCACATATTTGCAAATAAAGGTAGTTTACACAGTCTAAACACATATACAATCAAGAAAGATAAGCGTAAATTAAGGAGGTTTGAACAGTCCGAGCATACATAAACCAAGGAAGTTTAGGAGGTCTGAGTACACATATGTGATTTGGGGAAAGGATGTCCTAAGTTGATTAGCTTATATGATCAATCTGTGCAATGCCCGGTAATCCTCCTCAACTATAAAGGCTACACATGACATTAGCGCACAGGTCATCATATCCTTTACTACCCATTACACTCCCCTTAGTTATTATATAAGCGAGTTTAATTAACGAACTCTAAGAATGCTTTACTCGTACCTTCCTTGTGGTCCCGAAGGCATTTAGGACTTCTAGACTTAGGCAGTTCTAGACAATCCTGAGGTGTTTAAAAGGAAAAAAGCTAGGCAACAACCAAATAACACATAGGAATGTCAATTAGGGAAGCAGATAAAGGGCTCATGTTTACCTCCACATAAATAGACAAATAAGCAGCACGTCTCAAACATAGTTTTTAGGTAATTTCAGAGCAATCCTAGAACAGGGTAACTAGGTGAGCATCAAAACACAGAATATGCAACATTGTTCTTAAAACAAAGTGGCAGAACCTTAATCAGTTTGCCTACTGATTTTAAAATCTATTAAACCTAAGCTGTTTATAAATAATCACAGCATAGTTTCTCAATTTTTACAAGGACATTGATCACCTAAGGTTTTCCTAGGCGTGGGGGGCTATATGCAATCATAGTTATAGGGGATGTTTAAACAATTTGAAGTTATTTCATCCTACAGGCATTCTGATCTAAGTAATGAATATTATAGCAGGTAATTTTATACTAATTTATATCGAAACATGATACCTATGTGTAGGCCTGTTTTAACCTATTTATTTAAGCGACATGTTTCAAGGTAAATGCACGTGCAGTCCTGAAACAGGATCTCTAATGCACATGGAGAAGGTTATTTTATTAAACATTATTAGTAACTTAAGGGTAGGATTTCTGAGTGATAGCAACTTATGTAGAATTAGATGTGAAGTAATGAACTACAACATGTAATATGCAGAAGTAGTAAACATGATTGTCCTAAGACAGGGTATCTAATGCACAAATTTAGCATGGTTTAATGAAAATAAGCATAGCAATCCTAAAGCATGATATCTAATGCATCACACAAACCTAGAACATGATTTCTACAGCAACTAAACATAATGTAAAACCTAAAACATGATTTCTACCCAGTTTAACCCACAGAATCATACATCTACCCTCCCTTTTTTTTACTAGTTACCCCAATATCTGTTTACAAAGGATTATTACACACCAGGATTGAGTAAATTACATAAATGAAATGTAAACTTATAATAAAGTAAACCTAGGAGTACCAGGCCTTCAATGTAGTCTCAAATGCCCAAAAATCTCATAGCCAATTTGTGTCCAGGTGTGTCCGAGTCCCCGAAGGACCTCAAGGATCCCGGGAAGTGCTCACACCAAAACTTTTCTCAAATAAGGATGGCTATGTACAGTGTGGAAGAGCCAGCCCTAGTATGTCAGAGTTCAGAGAGATCTCAAAGATCCCTAAGCACTACACATACCAGAGGGGCAGAACTTAATAATCTAAGAGTAAAGTGAGAGAGCTTGACATAGTTTTTGAAAGACTTAGTGAAACAAACAGTGTGGAGATAACATTTAGGAGTAAAAAAGATTTTCTAGAATAGACCAGTTTTAAGAAGATGCTAAGAATAAAACCCAGTTTTAAGAAGATGCTAAGAATGAAACCCAGTTTGAAGAAGAATACTAAGAACATTTTGAAATCAGCTCTGAAAAGAGCAAATTCAGCAAACCAGCAATCAGTCATAGAATACCTAGATTTAGAGATAGGAAGATCTCACACAAGGGTGAAGGGGGTTGGGAACATATAAAATCACATTAAGGGGGCACATGAACAGGGTATAGGGAAAACATATAGACAACAAATGCACAAGACACTTAGGAGTCCTGGAGACTTAATAGGCTAGAATGATAATAAGCAATTAAGACATAGAGAAAAGATGTAGTAAAATCATATGGAAAACAAGTGAGTCTTAGACAAGATATATAGTTAAGTTCATTAGGGGATTAAGCAACGAATCATGATCACACCAATCTAAAGGAGTAACAAAAACATGCTTAGCTAGTATCAAACCATCAAATAAAGTCAGGACATACTGATTACATGCTTGAGCATAAGGAGACAGAATTTAGACATGCAGGGTAAAGCAGTAAACAAAAACAACTTGAATGCATGATCAATCTAACTAGTGGAAGAGTAAACATAGAACAAATAGAGTTGAGTTTCAAAATTGAACTAGAGACATACCAGTTGAAGAAAAGAGTACAGAATGTAAAGCAGGTGTAGTTTCAATGATTAGCCTACCAGTAATTATCACAAGTAACAGAGAAAGAAAAGAGAGTTTGAGTGTGAGTGTGTGTTCTTTGAACTTGTGTTCGTCTCTAAAGAAGTTAAATAAGAGAGTTTATATATTAGTTCAAGAGTAGAGCAAATAAGGTAAAGGAATCAATAATCAGCAATTAAGGGATCTCAGAATCCAATCATACAAAGAGTTCAGAATAGTCTTCCCTTAATTAAGGGCAATTAGCCAACGGTAATAACAAGATTAATTAAGGCAAGGGGTTCAAATCAGACCAAATAAAGGAGTAAATAATTAGGGGTCTAATTAAGGAAAGAATCATGTAAAAAATCATTAAATATACAGCAATCAAATAAGGCAAGAACGACTAATTAAGGTCGTAATCATAGAAACATGCAAGACTTAGGATTACAGACTCTTAACAAAGCAAATCAATCAACCAGATTAATAACAATTCTGGAAAGAATATATCAATTCCCATAAATAAAGTAGAATAAGAAAAACTTTATATACATAGAGAAGTTAACCGGAAAATTGATTAAAAATCCTAATAGAGATTAGTTAGGGCAAAATCACAGAGCAATGCATTTGACAAAGAAAAATCGTGTAGGTCAAAGATACAGAGTGAATCAATACAACTGGTAACATTGAAAAAATCAAAATCAAAGCCAAAAAAAATCAGAAAATTAGAGTTTCACATAAATTGTCTAGGGTTTAAGAAACTTTTGCATAAATCAGTCAAGAACACTAAAGGATAATCGATTAAACATTTAAAAA